TGGGGAAGTGCCCAGGCCTCTTATCTTAAAATATAAAACTTTTTTTTGGTCAGGAGGTTTTTCTAAGTCTTCTGTGTTTGCATTAATCAGGCATGCAGTGATCCCTCAATCAAACCACCAAACTATTGCTCACATTTGTGTTTAGTAGGACAAAATCGTGCTTTTCAATTTCCATATTAAAAACTGGAGGACTGTTTAAGGGTATGTATTTATTTGTCAATCAGAGGCAATGGAATTGATTTTTATTAAAGTTTGCAGCAATGCCAGCAGGGGGTATTTGCCACAGTTGGATTGTGCAAGGTATGTGGGAGTGCAGCAATTCTGCTGTGGACTTGTACCAGGGAGGAGAATTCTTTATATATCCGACTTTGCAATTGCAGTGTATAAGGGCAGATCTAAAGTAACATATCCACCTTATCTGGGCTGTTCTGGGAGGCGATGTTCAGCTTTGAGACTGAGGCAGAGAAATCTGTGACAGTTTGTTAAGGAGAAATTAAGAAAGAAAAAGCTCTGTGGTTTGGACCCGTGCTCACCCTGTCTTCACCACAGCAGAAGAAAATCTTACGTATTATTTCTCTGACTTTGTCTTTTCCCTGTTTTAGCTTCTTTAGCCTATAAAGTTTGCCTTAGTGCTCAGTATTTACTCAGAATTCATTTTTTCCCAAAGTACTGGCAAAGTTTTAGAGCCTTTATGCAATTCCGGGGCAATATGGGGTAACTGTAACAGAGCCTACACCTTTTCCATTGAAAATCTGGTTACAGTTATCTTCAGTAATTCATCTTAATATTTGTAATTTTATTACTTGTGAACCACTCTGCAGTCTCGATAGCTCTGAGTTCAGTTGGTTTTATTTCTAACTTCTAGCTGTGAAATCATTTAGATGAAGGACTTGTGTTCTGTTTCGGACAATGCTGTGCTGCTGAAATACTATCTGGAGTGTCAAAAGGCTACGGAAAAGATATTTCCTTTTTCTTTTACCTAGAGATCCGTTCCCTTTGTTCTGGAACTTAATTGAGCATCTGATCCATTTTAACACTCAAGATAATAATTGTGGAGTTTTTTTACTAAAAATCTCATTAATAATGGCTGCCTAACATAATATAGTTGTCTGTAATGCGAGATACGGCTTTTGAAGCTCAACTGTGTAAAAAACCACCAAAAATAAACCATGGAGGGTTTCATTAGTATCATCTTTGAATTGTGTCAATATGGGGTTGACTACCTGTTGCGGAAGTCACTGATGAGGTTTGTGAGGAGTTCAGTAGCCAGGCTGGAGCAAGTAGTGGCTATGTTGTTTGGAAAATGGATTGTCCTTTTATTTTTCATGCATTGCCTAGCCCGGTGAAGACAGGGCTAGAGGTTCCTAGAGGTGTGGTAATGCAAATAGGAACTGTAGCATTCTCAAAAGTGATTGGAAATAGGAATGATATGCAAATTTCAAGCATTTTTTTGTTGTGTGTGTTTGGATTTTTTAGAGTATTCCCCAAGGAAATCAAATAATTAGACACTAAAGAACTGTTGTACAGTGAAAGATATCTGTGATTTCCTGACACTGGTGTAAAATTCGTCATTTCTCCATGAGCATAACAGTTCTTCCTAGTACAGCAGTCACTCGACAAGCAGAAAGAGGAGCAAACAGCAGCAGGTCGCTTCGCTCTTTGGTATTGAATGCTCTTGATGGATGCTGGTGTTATGTTGTTGTTGCTATGACAACAACATACATTTTTAAAAGATCTGCTCCCCTGCTATCTCATTACCTGCTTTCCTCCCTCAATACCATATTATTTTTTTCCTAGAGTTTTGTAGCTGCAGGGGTGTGGGTGTGTGTTCATTGTTCTCACAGTGAAAGATGGTCACGCTTTCTAGCTTGTGTGTGTGTTCTCGTTACTGCTTCTTGGTTTGAGGTCTTCATCACCATCTCTTACCTGGCTGTAGCTGGTTTTGTTGGTTTTTTTTCTGTTACGATACTTTCTGCCAGTGCTGGAGCCCCGCTCTTCTTAAAATTGTCCAGCAATGTGGCTTACTTGACTGCCCTTGCACCCTAAGCTACTGGTGACAGCGTATGAAACAAAAGGGTTAGGAGTTGGTTGGGCTTGCCAGTATCACAAATGCTACCATTAAAACCCCAAAATTTAAGACGTGCTTTTATTTTATGAACAAATAGATGAAGCAGGGCAACTCAGCCCATTAGATCTCCATATCTTTTCCATGCCAGTGGTTTTAACTAATTTGCCAGGCTTCCTTGCGTCTTTGCATGATTTCCTTGATCTGCAGCTCTTCTGGACTTACTCTCGGCCGTTTGGCAGGCTGCTCCTGAGTCAGGAGCTCATTTAAAGATGCTAGCTGGTAATGTGACAAACTGTTCTAAGGACATGGATGCTTGTTTTGACCTGTCAGTAAGATTTTATGGAGGAACTTTTCTTTTCCGCTTTCAGAAAGCAATGATGTCTCTTTTTAGGAAAAAAAACCCAAATCCTACGATTACAAAACAATGGCTCCTCAAACTAATTCGTCTGCTGCTTGTCATCAACGTTTACCTTTTTGAACAATTCTGCTGCTTATCTCATTGAAGAACTTGTTTCAGTTTTCCCTGAAACAAAGTTAGTTCTACAGGCAGGTGCAACTTAATTGAAATGACATTAACATGTTTTAGCTAGTAACAGATGAAACTGATTTCCTTTTGGCCAGCGGTGGGCTATTGGAAACTACTCATTAATGTCAAATATACTTAGAGCAAGCCTTTGTATTCTATATAACCTTTTCTGTATTTGTTTGTTTCTTTAAAATTTGAAAGGAATTTAAAGGGAAGAGATTTTATTAGTGTGTTAGTGGAAGTCGTAGATTTTTTTTTTTTTACTGGAACTTTCCTCTTCAGTTATGACATAAAAATGTGGCATTGTTATGTTTTTGTAGTTAGATTTTATGAACAAGAGTCATAAGATCACAGGGTAATTCAGGTTGCGTAGGATTCCAAGAGGTGAAGTACTTTGGGCCTGTTCTTCAAGCATAGTCAGCTGTGATTGCACAGACAGTTTAACTGTGGAGCAGATCATAGTCTTCAAGCATAAAGATGCATGAAAAACTATGTTACTATCCTTTCATAGTGGAAAAGTAAAACATTTTATTGACACTTCTTACTTAACTGAGAAAGTTCAGGCTTTGTAATTTCAGCCAGTGGTTTGGTTTCAGAAATTGTAAGCAGTGCTCCGGATATTTCAATATCAATAATATTTTTCAGCTAAATTCTGCTGTGAACAAAGGTTTTTAGCCATTATAGCGTAGGTGATAAGGGGCATACCTCCAGCTCCTTTGATTTTTAAGTAGTAGTATATAAAACGCTGCATTTTAGATGGAGCGCTTCAGACTGGAAATGTTGCTATGCTTTGAAACTGTTGAAGCTTTCAGGAAGAAGTGTGTCCTACTCTGCTTCAGGTGTCTCAAGATGATCACTCTCTTGTCTGTTCAACATTATTCTCATAAAATTAAGATTTTTCTCCATAAGGCAAAGTAAGGCCCATTAGCTGGGTGAAGCCTGTTTTTCAGTTTTGTGTCAGCAGCGACGTCTGGAATCGACTCTGGCAGTTTAACCCCCGCCCACAACTAAATCCCACATAGCTGCTTGCTTGCTCTCTCCTGGTGGGGGGAGAATTGGAAGGGTAAAAGTGAGAAAACTCACAAGTGGGTATAAAGACAATAGGTAAAGCATAAGCCGAGCAAAACAGGGAAGTTGTTCACCACGTCTCCTTGGCAGGCAGGTGTCCAGTCATCTCCAGGAGAGCAGGGCTTCATCACACAGAAGAATTACTTGGGAAGACAAATGCTATCACTCCAAACTTCTTCCCCTTCCTCCTTCTTCCCCCAGCTTTGTATGCTGGACACGACATCCTCTGATCTGGAATATCGCTTGGGTCCGTTGGGGTCAGCTGTCCTGGCTGTGTCCCCTCCGAGCTCCATGTGCACCCCTAGTCTACTCACTGGTGACGTTGGAGTGAGAAGCAGAAAAGGCCTTGATGCTGTGTGTAAGCCCCGCTCAGCAATAATGAAAACATGCCAGTGTTATCAACACTGTTTTCAGCACAAATCCAAACCGCAGCCCCACACCAGCTGCTGCAAGGAAAAGTAGTGCTAGTCCAGCCAAAACCACCACAGGCTCACCTGAAGCAAACAGAAAGAAAGCCAGAAAGAGTCACCATCTGTCCTACCATTACCACCAGTCCAGTTCGCACACTGATTGCCACCCCCAGCCCTGTTAGGGTTGTCCTTGGCCCAGGGAGACATGCCCAAATGTAGCTTTCTTTCCACTTCTCCAGGAGTTTGGAGGTCAGCAGGACACTTCCCACACGGCATCCACACTTCTGTGCGGGTACTGTAGCCCCAGCATCAGTCTTCTGGGGAGCAGCGTTCCCTCCGGGTTTCTTTCCTGTAGTTGTGGTGCTAAAAGTCATTGATTTTCTAAAGTCTCTGGTCCTGCGCGTCTTAAATTTTGGGGCTTTA